AAGCCTCGTGCGTGTTAGAAGCGTGCGCTTACATACCCGATCCTGTAGACCGAATGGTAAACAGTCGACGTCGCCCAAAACACGTCATTACGGATCCTCCCGATCCATTAACGGTGCTTTTAGGTACCACAAGCACCTGTCACCGTCCTCGTCGAACCCGTCGCTTGTGACGAAGGGCTCGACTAGTAAATCAACCCATAGACACAGCCCACTGAGTTCCTCGCTGGATCTTCTCAGTGGTTAGCGTTTCTGATCCGGTTTCTGCGAAGCACTGCTCTTGCTAGGGCCAGTGTTAGCAACACCTCTGGTTTGAGCCCCGTGAGCCTCTCAAGGCTATCAGCATATGCTCACAATGCTCAAGTATTAAATAAATAAAACGCAAGCAAAGCCGCGAGCAGATAATACGTATTACCACGTCCCCCCCACTCCTCGGTAAAGACGACCGCCGATTTCGACGCCCACAATGTAATGACTCTTATTATTTGACATTAGAAAATGGTCACCACTTACCGTTCATTTATAACACTATTGTACAGATAAACCTGTTTTTTTTTGTCGATATCGAGAAGAAATACTTAGAAAAAAAATTGTATAGCAATGTGCTTAATTTTTTGTTATAATAATAATTGTATTATGAAAAAATCGTATGATTTGAATCCGAAATATCGGTATGTTCATTTTATTTTGCACTAGTAACTATGAGGAAGATGAGAGCTTAGGATATGACCTTACAATACAGCATGGTGGGGAGACCTGATAGCCGGAGGAGACCGCGGTCAGATCCGCATACCTATTTCAGAAATTAGTGGGATAATTTAAGCCGTACGCCCGAATCAAGGGTTCATAAACATCACACGTAATGATATTAAAAGAAAAGATTAAAATCATTCCGAGTAATGATGTTTATTTATAAAGATCTCACGTTCTGATTACAATATTAACTCAAAAGGAACAAATCTCATATATATTAAATAAAATTTGAAGCAAACAGATAGTGAGTCTGGGAGAGTGCGAAGTACGCGCATGGTTCAGTTAAAAAATGTAATGTTTTAGTTCAGATATCACGAAAGATTGGAAAGTGTAATACATTGCGCGTCCGCTTAAGGCGGTTGTGACCTACCCACAGAAATGACTGGTGGTAAGACCTCTTGTGAGTCCGCACGGGTGGGTACCACCGCCCTGCCTATTTCTGTCGCGAAGCAGTAATGCGTTTCGGTTTGAAGGGTGGGGTAGCCGTTGTAACTATACTGATACTTTAGAACTTATATCTCAAGGTGGGTGGCGCACTTACGTTGTAATCACTTAACACCAGGTGGGCTGTGAGCTCGTCCACCCATATAAGCAATAAAAAAAATTTTACAAATCAGAGTTGATCATCTACTAATTTATTATTTTAACAATAGATTAATTAGGAGTGTCTAATGAATAATTAATGTAATAAATAATATAAGTAGGCGGTTGTTGATGGAAGCAGTAAGAACACAACGGTAATGGTTTTGTTAGTATCGATGAGAGATGAGCATGTGGTCCACTTGCTAGGTGGTCACTGCTGCCCGTGGACAGCAGCAATGCCAAGGGCACGGTCAGTCCGTTCCAAGAATTAAAAGATAGATACCTATTGTTAAGAAATTATGCAAATTTTGATTTAGTTTAGACATCCTCAAAGCTCATTCAAGGTCTTTTTTTATTGCCCGTGAAGGCAGACGAGCACACGGCCCAACTGATAGTGAGTGGTTACCGTCGCCCATGGACTTCAGCAAAGCCAGGGGCAGAGCCAAGCCGCTGCCTACCGTTATATCATGGTCATGCGGAATCCCATTTCTTTGAGACATTAAATGACCGCGTTAGCCTCCGAACCGAAACGCCGAACCAAATATACGACAGCCAATTCCGTAGCTAAAACAACGAAATGTTAATTAAACATATATAATTAATATAATTTTTTTTTTGTTTGTTACTTTTAATAATGTTATGTCATGTTGTATTAACTACTACACTACAATTTACAAGTACGCTGAATTGGGTGTTTCATTAATTATAATACGTATGAGATATGAAATCTTTAATTTAAAAAAAAGTTATAGCGTGTGTAGCCTGCGGAACAAATAATTGTGTCTGAACTAAGGTGGCTGCCTCGGTTTGTTTAGCAGCTGAACGCCGATAAACAAACAATACTTTATCTGTTATATAAATACTGAATTCTTCGGTAATACTTCTGCTAGTTTTCGTGGTATACTCATTATTATTGTAAAAAGTAATGTTTTAGCATGTGACAACTATATTCGTTGCACAGAAACTAGCTCACCTCAAAATGATGATTACTATATGATAACTCTTATATTAGTAATTTTTTATTTACTTACTTGCAGTGAAAATTGATATTCAGAGACACAATAGTTTACAAATTGTATTTCAAACTCAAGCCTATGGCATTGCTGCCAGGTGACGGACACTTACAAGTTGGTATCCCGTAAGCTCGCTCTTACTGGCTCATAGAAAATTGATTAATTTTTGCAAAACTTGAGAAAGCGTCACTTTCTCTGTACTAAACGCTCTTTACAATATCCGTATGGTCTGAATGTTTAAAACAAGATGGTATCATGATAGTATCGCGTTTCCGGTTCAAATGAATGTTTTTTATTCGTACATATATAATGTAATGTAGATGGTTCAGTTTTTATTACTTAAATCAAGAGGACGTTAATTCGTAATGGTTTGAGAAGAATCCTCGGTGCTGTGCCGCTGACATTTGCTGAGGTCCATGAGTGACGATAGACTCGCTCGATGATGCTGACATAGTCCTTTAAGACTATCTTACGTAGGAAAAAAGACGATTGACACTTACCATTGAATAGACCGTATGCATATCAGTTTTCGAAAAGAAGTAAAAAAACAATATATGAACTTGGAATTATTAGTAACTCGATACATTATTTTAATACAATTATACACCCATGGACACAGCCCACTGAGTTTCTCGCCGGATCTTCTCAGTGGGTCGTGTTTCCAAATCGGTGGTAGATTCTGCGAAGTACTGCTCTTGCTAGGGCTAGTGTTAGTAACACCTCCGGTTTGAGCCCCGTGAGCTCATCTATACGTCAAGGCGAAGCTGAAATAGCCTCTCAAGGCTATCAGCATAGGTGGGGAAAAAAATTATCTTCCTCATTTGCCAACCAATAATAAATTCGATATTTATAAATAAGTTCTTGTATGATTAGTTTGTTTGTTCATGTTTTAGGTATATACAACAATCCATTTACCTATAGTACTATATCGAGATGAATCTTTCCGATCTGTTTCGTATGGTATACGATGGAATAGTACCATAAACATGCCATATGTGACAGTCTATTGGTATCAACAAATTGATTTATATCAACTACATATTTGTATACTTTTAACTGATGGTAGAACCTCTTCTGAGTCCCCACGGGTAGATACCACCACCCTGCCTATTTCAGCCGTGAAGCAGTAATGCGTTTCGGTTTGAAGAGCGGGGCAGTCGTTGTTACTATACTGAGACCTTAGAACTTATCTCAAAATGGGTGGCGGCATTTGCGTTGTAGACGTCTATGGACTCCAGTAACCACTTAACATTAAGTGGCTCGTTTATCCACCTATGCAATAAAATAAAAAAATAGTCATAGCGAATCCCTTGAATTGTTCATGAAAATAAAGTCGAAAACATTCCGGGTCTAAACTCTGAACTGGCGTCACCACAGTCCGACATCGCATTCCTCGATCATTAGTAACATTGTAAGGAATCTGCCGAGTCACTCAACATTTACCTCAAGGCTTGGTTGCAATGAAAATCTACGGATCATAATATATTGCGGTACCTCACAGTAGCCTGAGTAGGTGTCACTGTCACTGTCAACTTGACGTGCTTAGCGGCAAGGGGTATTATAAGCTGACCTGGGCATGTACCACCATCTTTCTTTTTGTGACATCCCATGTCTTAATTTTTGTTAAATCATCCTTGAGATCCGGTGACCATTTGAAATCTTACGTCTAAGCCAGAGAAAACTTTTCTAGTGTTGACATTCAAAGGCTTGTAATAATAGCTTTGCGACAACCCTACTTGTATGACGTCATACGTGTTTTAATAGCCCTAGATCGGTGGATGAACATCGTATGAGGTTTGGCGATCCTGGCATACAGGGTTGCAGGTCGAGCCGCTAGGACGTTTCATTCATACTCACCTAAGGTTGCGTGTCTGTGTTTGTTTATTCCGTGTCGTGTTCAGCCGGGCGAGCGGATTAACTAGCCTCGCACTCGGTTTTACTCGACGGCTCTCGCACTTGAAGAAGATATGTAGGATCATCTTGTAACGTGGTCTCGCTTATGCATACGATGGGGTACGTGCGAGTTGCAATTTAATCTAAATTATATTTGTTTTTATATATTTATGTATAGGAAATTTGAGTTTGTTTGCGCGTGCGTTCGTATCTCTTTTATTATATTGTATTGGGAATGTGGTAAAGTTTCTGTTCGGACTTTAGGGAACGACTTTGTACTATCAACATGGTGAGGGATTAGTTTCATATAATCGGTGTATTTCGTTGATGTAGCGATCTTAACGTCTGTGTCAAATACATATTGGGAATTAATGTTATTTTTAACCGACTTCAAAAAAGGAGGAGGTTGTCAATTCGACTGTATGTTTTTTTATGTTTGTTACCTTATAACTTTTGACTGGGTGAATCGATTTTGATGATTCTTTTTTATTAGGAAGCTGACGCTTCCCGTGTGGTCCAATTTCAATTTAGTCCAGTTCTGATAATGGCATCCATGAGAAAACTATATAAGTCTTAAATTTGCATTAAGTACGTGCGCGACAAATAGATGAATAACTCAATAAGTCAATATCACGCCAACCGATTTCGATGATTATTGTTTTTAGTGTATATTAATTTGTTTTGGAAAATCTTTTTTTTCTGTTTGAAGTCGGTTTTTGTTAAAGCATGTCTATTTACAATTATTATTTGTTTTGTTCGCAGATACGTCAAGAGAAACCGTATTACATAGCGGATCCAGAGGTCGACTCATTAGTAAGTATTGTCATTTTACGACTCGCACACCAGCACGACGCAACCAATGAAACTCGAAGCGTTTTTAAATACGTCATAAAAAATAGTCAACCGCGCGACCTAACAAATCATTTATGATTCTATCGACTGAAGAACAGAAATCACAACGCAGGTACCACGAGAAACCGTTCTCGAAGCGAACTGGGCATCGGAAAACGAAAATAAAAAAATATAAAAACACATTATATATGTATTGTCACTCATAAAAAGTGGAATCGCACGGAGCGCCTCCCGCGGCTAGCACCGACAAAAAACTGATATAATAAAAATAACAAAATGTCGGCCACCCACCGCCGCCGTTCGACACGGGTACTTAACCGATTTTTAACAAATAAAATCTAAGGCATCCNTGAGAGCATTGGAAAACGAAAATAAAAAAATATAAAAACACATTATATATGTATTGTCACTCATAAAAAGTGGAATCGCACGGAGCGCCTCCCGCGGCTAGCACCGACAAAAAACTGATATAATAAAAATAACAAAATGTCGGCCACCCACCGCCGCCGTTCGACACGGGTACTTAACCGATTTTTAACAAATAAAATCTAAGGCATCCCGAATTGGCGGCCGCGGTCGCGCCTGCCGACTTAACATTGTTACTTGGATTCGTTTTATCGGGTCGCTCTGTCACGCACGTAATGGCCGTAACCGTCTGTTTGCGGACGGCGTCGCGCGGCGCTAACCGCCCGCCAGCCGACAAATTAAAATATTAAAACAGTAGCAAGACGCGACGCCGTAAACCAGTCAGAGACTGATAAGCGTCATTCATCTGCTGCTCAAATCTTAAGGCAGCCGTCGTTAGATAAGGCGGGCAAACAGAGCGACATCCGCTCGAGAGGACCCTCAGAGCGGGGATCGTCTCGCGAGCTCACATGTGCCACCGTCGACGCACATGTTCCCATATCGACCTCACCTCGTTCTCTATAAGAAGACATGATATCCACAGCGGAAGGAAACGATGCGGTCAGCTCAACTGAGTTCTATTCAAATGAATTAAATTCACCGCCGCGGTTCGACCTCGACTTGTGTATTTACCTCTGACAATTAATGTTATGAACGCGAAATTACTTGCCGGTGTAATTCGTGGCCACATGTCGCGGAGTATTGTGAGTGCCGCACCGGGATACGTGGAAGGGAAGGACTCTTGTTGCCGCGGGCTGTTGTTTTTGTGCGCACATCCGAGCGACGCGGCACATCCACGCCGGCAGGTCGCCGTCGCGAGGGTTCGACGCACGTTAGTATCGATGCTCAAGGCCCCGTCGATGAAGCGATCGGTTGCGATGTGTCGAGCTGACGTCACCCGCCTCCAGCTTTAAGTGGCGTTTAATTTAGCAGCTTTCGTGCCATCAACATTATTCGTATCGGTTCTTGAGAGTTCATTTTCATTACGTTCCCGAGTTGGCCTCATTAATGCCGTACCGAGATATGACGCCAGTTTTAAAATTGATACAGTTTGTTTACGATTTTCGAACGTGGCGAGTATAAATAAACTAAGCGAGCACTTACACTTGTGTAATCCAAGGTCTTGGCGCTGGACAGCTCTCCGCAAACACGGCTGGATGTTAACATAATATGGCAGCCGAGAAACGGAAAAAAATATTCGAATTCCATTTTCGTATGAAACACACAATATGAGTGGCGCGCGTTTTGTTTGAGACTAGTGCTGTGGGCGTTCAGTAAACATTCGATAGTTTTTAAAACCAACATCGAGTGTTTTATTGACCCGTTCGGTCGAGTCGATTGGTTACGGGCCGCGGAGTCTGTTTGCCCACGTCACATCTGTGTTTGGTCTGTCACAGCCTTTTGAAGGTTTAAGCTTCCTCAAACACATTCGAACTGAAGTAGCGTGCGTAAACACGGAGATATGTTTTTCGAAGTCATTAGTAAGTGATATCGTTAACGCGTTGTTTTACGATTGCTGCGTGACGTTTTGGAAATCGTTCGAAATAATTTTCATTTGGAGTTATGATCAGAGAACTTATTAAAAAAAAACATTACATTGATAGGATAATTGAATAGTGCAGGCACGTCAATTAACAGAATATCTCTTGACGTTTTGAACGTGTTTCGAAATTGTCGTTCGAGAGTGGCTTACTACGGTGGAGCCCTGGGACCGTCCCCCTCGGCAAACAAAGCTCAGTGGCGAAAGTTAAACAAGACAAACACATTTTTATCTGACAGCAGCGTCGCCTGCGCAAACATAGCGAAGGGCGCCACCGTCTCGTATAATTGATATTACGTGAACAACTCCACAGATGTTATGCGCGCCTGGTACTTTATATTATAGTGAATAGTTTTAAATTTTTATTGTCTGCTTTTTTTGTTGTTGCTTATATGTGTGGACGAGCTCACAGCCCACCTGGTGTTAAGTGGTTACTGGAGCCCATAAATATCTACAACGTAAATGCGCCACACACCTTTGAGATATAAGTTCTAAGGTCTCAAGTATAGTTACAACGGCTGCCCCACCCTTCAAACCGAAACGCATTACTGCTTCACGGCAGAAATAGGCAATGTTTTCTCATCGAAATTTTTTACTAAGCTTATCCATAAAATAAACAGTCAAGGTTCAAAAGTAGTTAACGACTTTGCAAATATTTTTGTAATGAAAACCGCTAAGAAAAGGTTCATAGAAAATTCCGCGTTCGCAATGATTCAATTCCCCATTTAATATTTAAAAAAAAAAACTAATTAATTAGGAAACGAAAGTGAAAATGTGTTTATGAACGCTCCGAGCCTCAACTCGGTACTGGGTCAAGATCATAAACCGATTCAAATTAAAATTCAAAACATGAATTTTAATAAGTTATAAAGATTAGTTAGTACGGGCTAGACCGATTATGTTATTGCCTTCTTAATAGCAAAACACTTAAATTGGTTTAATTTGGTTTTTTTTTTACTACGAAGCTCTTCTCTAAGGAGACGAACTTATCTGGTGCTGAGTGGGTTTCGCGTTCCATTACTCACTGCTCACCTTCAAACCTTAATTGAATAAGAACCAATCCAATTCCTATGGTTCTGTAGTACCCTATATTACTGCTTTCAAAGATCGGCCATACCCGATCCTGTAGAATGGTAAATAGTCGACGTCGCCCTAAATACGTCATTACGGATCCTCCCGATCCATTAACGGTGCTTATAGGTACCTCAAGTACCGGTCATCGTCCTCGTCGAACCCGTCGCTTGCGACAAAGGGCTCGACGAGTGAATTAACCCATAGATACAGCCCACGGAGTTTCTCGCCGGATCTTCTTAGTTGATCGCGTTTCCGATCCGCTGGTAGTTCTGCAAAGCACTGCTCTTGCTAGGGCCAGTCCAGTATTAGCAACACGCCCGGTTTGAGCCCCGTGAGCTCAGGAGAAGCTGATATAGCCTCACAAGGCTATCAGCATAGGTAGAAAAAAAAAAGAAAGATCGGTATCTACTTCATTATACAAGGCATAAATGAATAAGAATATACAAAACAATTGTATAGATCCTCTGATGCTTCCATTATCGCATCATCCAGGATCGTTCTTACTTGGACTTCTTATTTGCGTCTGTGTATGAACTGCCTGTACCCTTCGTCAGCGCTATGATTTTTCATCAACAGCCTTTAGTGACATGACTTTGACTGCTTATCATAAGGCAGACCTTATGCTTGTCGGTCCACAAAGACCGCTGCCTGCCATAGATCCACTATTAATTACCGTGAAGGCATTACGAATTAAATATCGATAAAGTGAAGAGTCGATAATCGATAATGAGCCGTGTCACATCACTACGCGCCACAGGGGCCCGCTGTACTTTGTCCAGTTCATTGTTGCTCAGTTGGCTTTGTCAGATTGAGCCCGGTCGGAATCCGGACCGCCGAGCACTAAGCCATTTACGATATAATACCACGTGGAATGATCATTGCTTTACTAAAACAAACCTTTCTTTACAGATGGTGCAAGCGATACAAGTACTACGGTTTCACCTCTTAGAATTAGAAAAAGTGAGTATTCATTACTTGTATACTATTCAAAGCGGATTTATTTCGAGTTGAAATTAAAACCGGTATTAAAATAACACCTTTCGATTATCTGAGGGCACGATTTCGGATCGAGATATTATAGTTATGATATCACGAGGCACGCCGCACGCACTGGGCACTCGGGTTCCGTTACCGATTGTTCTAAGTTTAAATTTCTGAAACAATTTCGAAATTGGAAGGCCGATCCGGCCCGCGAACGATTTCGAATTTCGAACGCTGTTTGTTTTCGAGTTATCTCGGATTCGGCCGTGCGCTCCGCTGTGGCGACCGGTTCGATTTCTTGCGTGTGTCGCATTGCCAATTCGCGCCATTATTATACCCTCGTTCGGACTGTAACGGTACTGCAGCCGGAGACGAACGCTTTTTGCTATTCAAAATCAGATGGGACAATTCGCTCTTGTCGTTTTTAATTAGGAACACAAACTCGACGAACCGTCCGTACCGCTCGAGGAATTAATTCGACTTGTCAATATTATGGTCACGTCACGATAGAACTAGTTCGGCTAACGTCTGTATCGAGACGAATGATCTCGAGAAACGAGATACCTCATCCAGCGGTCGCTGCCACAGCGGATTCCATAAAATATCCGGAGCCGCGTTCCACTGACACTACCTTAGAAACCGGTAAATTTGGTAAAAAAAAAATACGTACGCACTAATACAGGGCTGTAACGAGATAACCTGTAATGCGATATCGCTGTACGAATGCTGGCCGGAGGGCGATATAAAGGCTATTTAAAAAAATAAAATGTAATGCGTTGTTCGAATTTCGAAATATGGGCCCGAAGGCTTCGGTCGGTCGTAACGGCCGAGGAAATAGGCCGATTCGAACTCGAAATTTGAATTTAAATCAACGTGAGCGTTTAGAAATGGGATAAATCATTTTGTTCGTTGTTTTTTTTCACGATCGAAATAGGCAAAGGATTTAATTTGTAGAATAATATATCGGGTTCACCTGACTCCGCGCTCGCTGTGAAACCAAATTTTTTGCTTACTCCTCGTATCCTACATGTCAGTTACTATCTCGTCTACGGTTTTTGTTGAATAAAAACTAAAGAAAAAACATGCCGTTAGTTCGATCCATTTCCGCTTCGCTACACACCGTTCACAGGTGGTGTTTTTTTTTTTAATTTTATTTGAGCTTTTATAATAATTAAAAATAAGAAAAAGACTTCGGTCCCAGCTCTGGTTCACAATGAGTTCTCGTTAAGTACAAACTTTTTTTTTGTTGTTTTTTTTTTATCTTTCACCGTAATTGCTGGTCTTTTATAAACAAGAAAGTGGTTTCATTCAAGAGCACTTTTCGGATGAACTTTTATTCGTTATGAAGCGACAGTTATGTACGATGGTCGAACAATGATCACTAAATGTGATGCAGTAAACGATCGGAGTTATAAAGTAAATTTCGTCATGATTTATGCTTGGATATGTTTAAAATGGCCGTCGGCGGTCATAGCGCGTCCGAGGGTCGCCGGCCGCTCCGACGATTGGTCCACACTCCATACTTTTTATGTACTGGCTTATCCACTGACTGTTCCCTAATTACGTTATGAGATGTCGACGCTCGAATTCCTGCGGCAACGACCACGGATATCGTTTTGTTCTCTTTTCAAAATTAAAAACTTCGAATTTCGAACACAATCGACACGGGCGGTTCGTTGATTTTTAAATTCTTCATATATATTTTTTTATTTTAGATATATTCAAAAAACGAACGGCAAAGGTGTTTTAATTTTGAAACCAATACAATTCGCCAGTCCCGAACCGGCATAAGTGCGGTCGGCGTGTATGTATATATATATATGTACATTGAACGAAACTATTTTTATATTCGTAAAACAGAACGGTTATTAAAAAGCAACAAACCCGAAAGCGGCCGAGCTGTTTTTTAATATTTTGTTCCTAAATCGTAAACGTTATCTGTAACAACGTGGCTAAGTGATTTACGATGTGGGTCAGATTTGTTGGTTTACAGGCGAGGCTCGAACCTGGGACCCCGGGTTTACGACGCCTCCGCTCGGGTTTTTACAACTTTTATACAACGCACTAATTTCTTTGGATTCGTATTGCTCTGTGTTACTTCACGGTACACCCGGCCCGTCATATTTGTTTTAATTAGGAGCTTTTATTGCGAAAGTAAACATAAATGCAGTCGCAAACACGAGCTAGAGGTGAGAAGCAATCGGGCGCTTGTTAGAATGACCAGACCGGTCGATCCTTTATTTAAATGAATATACTCAGAGCCATCAAACACGCTCTACACTCCGACGCTTCCCCGAGCGCATCTCAAGCCAGAAACGTTTTTAAATCACGTAAACATTAATCAAAGTAAATAGGACGCCAAAGCGACATACGACGTATATAACGCGTTGAACGTCAAACAGAACGAGATTAACTGAAAAACAGCGAGATTTATATATCGTGTAGCAGTCGCACACCCACGTGTCGCATTAGAGACGAAGGAAGTGCCGTATTACGAGAAAAACCCTTTTAGTTCAGTAGCGACCGTGGCACAGATTGCGAGATCTTATCCCGCCAACGCAGCCCACATTGGCCGGCAAACGAAACTAGAAAATTAAAAAAAAAAACAACTTCGTTCAAACATCTCTGAATGAATCAAGGCAGTAAGTAGGTAATTTAATGAAACTACCTATATTTTTCGATGATGTCTTTTGAAACTGATTGTATTCTATTTATGAAAATTTAAAAAGGCGTTCCCTATCGCTTTTAGATTACAAAGAATCGTTAATAAAAACCAGAGATTAAAAAATTAAAAACAAAAAAAGTAAAATCTATTAATATAATTTCCTTTTTTAAATTTGAATAACGAATGTTAATATATCAACGGGCGACCGACACCGAACACTCCATATCTCAATCCTCGGTCGTTCGTTCCAAATTTAAATTTCTGGAAAGAGTTTGATGTTCGTAACGATAATCGGCTCGGAGTCGTCTCGGAATTCCTTAATATCTCATTAAAGATATTACCGGTAAATGAATGAGGTCGTATCTATGAAATGTACGTAATCGAGTTTAAGTCTTTGGTTCGAGACGAATGGCTCACTTTAATGTGGACGTATGTACCTACATAGTTAACACCGACTCCTTCTAGTGACGGGACAAGGGGACAGTTCGAAATTAGAATCTTCGAAGAGTAACGATGACAAAACTCGCTATGTCGAGTGGTATTAAAAATAGGTGCACGTCGATTCGCGTCATTCCGATGACTGTTTACATTGTCGTTCGCGGAGCAGTAAAAGCGCTCTCAATCAAGATTTTGACATTGACAGTGCTCGCCGACCGCGATTGTTAAGCGGTAGCGCTTATCCGCTCTAGTGTCAATAAAATTCACGCAGTCGTAAATATGAACTTCAAACGGGCAGGCTGTAAAATTCGAATTATGATAAACAAACCGGGCCGGGGGCGGGGGGGTGCGCGGGACGGGGCGCCGCGTGTAATTTTAAAAACTTGTCGATTAGGAAATTAGTGTCGCGGAGAAATAATTAGCTGTCAACACGGAGGATCGCTGTTTCCGTTTCCCGTTCTATTTTCGAATCCTGCAGAGGACCGGCGGGCCCCCGGTGGTGGCGAGGAGCGCAGGCGGCCTCTCCACCTGCCTACGGTTTATTGCGTTTCGCCGTGTAAACGTTGTCTAAAAATTTCGTTAGTCTTTTTATTACCTTATGTTAATTTCTAAGCTAATTATGCCCATGAAAATTTATAAGGCCGGCGCACAAAATTAATACGCGCCCGCCGGGGGTCGTATTTTATCGGATGCGAACGAAAAAAAATATGTATATATATTAGTTTCGTGCCGTTTTTACGATTTCTTTTCGGGTATTAACGTCTTGACGTGGTGCGCGAGGCCTGTCCCCGCTGCCGGTCCATTTCGTCTCTTAGTCTTCCATTGTCTTTGTATAAATGCTTTTTTTTCTTCTTTCTAACGCTTTGTATGGTGATATCAGTTCAAAGGTCGCGTCTCGTTACGTCCGTGTTCCGACGCTGACGATCTTGAATTAAATTTTAAGCTGTATTTCATGTCTTTGGATGTTACTGATTAAAAATATATAATGTTTAAAAAAAACTAACAAAATACGCTTTTATAGAAAATCCACCAAAAAAACCGAATATTAATTTTAGTGAATTTGAATTAAATAGTAGAAAAAAATATTTTATTGTAAAAAAGCGTGGGGTGCTTTTCAAGATATTATCAAAATAACCCTTCTACTCATATCGGTTCATAAAATATTTGTAACTACTGATACCATGCACCCCACGCTTTTTTTACAATAAAATAATTTTTTCTTACACTATTTTTAATTTAAATTTATTAATATTTGTTTTCTATTTTTTAGTTGGACTATCTATAAAAGAGCATTTTGTTAGTTTTTTAATTTTATTTTTTATTTTTCATTTATTAGTTGAATTTCAATTTTTTCAATTTTTTTTTAATCTTGAATTTCCTCGGTCCTTAATAAGTAGGTATACCAAATTTCGAGTTAATCCGACGTTTTGAAGGGGGTCATCAATCATGTTCAAAGATTCCGTTATATACTAAGATACATATACGTCTGAAGCTAATAAAAGCGTATTAAAATAAGCTTCCAGGTTAGAACTGCGTGCAATTTGTCGTGAACGTCGTCCGACGAACTAATCGAGTGCTCTGCGTCGACAGGTCCACGAGCTATGCGACAACTTCTGTCACCGCTACATCAGCTGTCTGAAGGGCAAGATGCCCATTGACCTGGTGATCGACGAGCGGGAGACGGCCCGGCCGCCGGACGCGAACGGCGAGCCCCGGTCGGCGCCGGACAGCAGTCACGACGGCGCCTCCACCCCCGACGTCGTGAGTACCCCCTACACCAAGTCCCATCTCATTCAGAGGCGTGATCCCCAGCTTGCACCCAACTCGACCACGAGCTACCTCGTGCACCCCTGTTCTTAGTTTGGCCATTGCAAAAACGAAGTATAAAAAGGGGGTGCTCGCATTTTTAAGTCTTTAATTCCCGCCTCCCGATGCTTTGTAACGCCGTACTCCGCTCCGGTCGGATGCGACGTCCGTCAACGACGACCTCGAAACGATTGACAGTTCCGAATTTGAAAATTTAAAAAATAAATATACCGGTTTTTTTTATTTTAAATTACACGTTCTTTTTAGTTGTCAAATTTGAATTCGGTTTTCTGTTTTCGAACTGTCGCATCGTTTGGAGAATGCTTTGTTGGTTTGAGCGTTGTCTGCCCACATGGAAACGTTGACTCTGATGCTGTCAGTCAATAGCATGTCAATAGATACGTTACAAGCGCAATGTTTATAATGTGGGCGGACGCGTCGTTTGCCGACGTAGTGCCATCTCCGAACACGAACACCGGTAGATACACTTCGAACAGTAATATTGTTAGTGTCGGTACTGAAGTGTCTGAGTGTCTTGTGTCGGAGGTGGTGCGACGGCGGGGTACGGCCACCGCGCCGGTCGGTCCGTGGGGCTCCCGGGACCCTCTACGATCGGCCGCTAGTATAAGCTCCTCTAGAACAAATCTTCGTTTTTGCAATTGGCCAACCTCTTAACACTGTACGATACATTTGAATTGATATTTTTTTGTCAGAATTAAATCGAAATTCGCTATTGAAAATTTATAACAGAAACGTTACAGTGAAGGGGTGAAAAACGGGTGCGAACCGATAATTAATCGAAAACAAAAAAAAAACAAAACCGATTTTCGATAATCGGCATTGACCGCACTATTAGCGGTTTTTATTTTCGTAGTGCTCTCGAACATACACGCCGTGTTCTATGAATGTTTGTTTTGCACCGAAATTTATGTATACGATTTTGAAAAAAAAAAAAAATTAAAACCTAAAAATATACATACGTATAACGTTTGATTGTAATTTGTGTATACTAACTACGTTAAGAATTCGTTTGGGTCGCGGTCACCGCCGCCGCGGGTTCGACCTCAGTAGAGTAACGAAAAAAAAAAACAAAAAAACTAAATAATTAGATGTAATCGGTTTAAATAATATTAAACCTATTTGGAAAACGAAGTATACGTAATGATACAAAACTTTAACTTGCCTAAGTGAGATGATAAGGTATAAATAAATCGATTTTTTTTTTATTATTATAATAAAATATGTAATATCATTCATTGGTCGGTGGTAGATGCTAGTGCGTTGTTGTTTTCAGGCTAGTAAAATACATGGAGCATATACGTAATGTAAATCATATGTGTTTTTTTTTTAAATTAATAATAATAATATAAAAATAGCACTATTTTAGTTAATTAAAAGTGAAATACGTATCCAGTATACGGTAGGTTAGTTAGTGTGGAACGCTTGCCACGTGGAATCCGCGTGTGTAGGATTCGTAGACGCTTTCATGAATGTGTGTACATAAATAACTAGCAATCGATTATATATTATTATATATTAAATAAAAGAAAACGAATAAAAATAATTTAATGTACGCGAGTTTGAATTCTATAGATATTAAAAAAAAATAGTTGCTTCGTAAAGGTATTAAAAGTTTTTTGATCGATTTAAATTAATAAAAATTTAAAAAAAAAAATCGTCTCCACTGTTTTTGTTCGTCAACTGTATGCACGGATCGCGTCAACCAGTTTAACTTTGATTTGACGGCGGTAGGAAATAAACCGAAATTCGTAATTAAAAAAAAAAAAAGCGCGGCTTTAATTCGGAGCTCATTCGATAAATCGGTATCGAACGCACAAAACCGGTGTTTAAGAGAAGTTCGGTTTTCTGGATGTTTGTTTAATGATTAAGTAATATTTTTTTGGGCGTTGAGACTGAATTGTTTTGTTTATGTTTATATATATATTATTATTATTATGATTATTTTCACGCATTGTTACTTATTGAAAAGCCATAATTAAAATAAATAAAAAAAAAACGTTATTATAAGTCGTGCGAACGTTTCGGTACGGTGTCTTTATTAATCTTATTAGTTTTTTTTTGTCTGTATATGAGTTTTTAACATGTGTAGTTGAATCTAAGTTAGGTGTAATGCAATTTTAAGTGAAAAAAAAAACCTTTTTTTTTTTTCTTTCTTGGAATCCTAACATAATTGTAATTGCTAATTTGGTGTACGTCCAACATGTATGTCAATGTGATTAATTAATATTAATGATTTACTATTATTATTATTATTATTCTGAACGGATTACAACAATAAAATGTTCTGTTTGAAATTAAAACCGGTGTTTTTTTAATCGTCCAACTTGAAAACCGGTTTTATAATGTTTATAGGTTGTTTTTATATATACGAACGCATTACGCTAATGGCACCAGGAGAACAACGATTAAATAAATTCAAAAATTTATCGTATCCATTTTTCAATACTGATTTAAAATTCTAAAATAGAATTTTTAATATTGAATCTTTTGAGAATTTAAAATAGGAACACATTACGTATTATAAGTTCTAAATGAATTAATAAAAGTTTAAATTAGGAACGTCGATTTCGTTGAGCGATCGAACGATTTGAAAATGTTTAACATGTTTTTTTTTAGGTGCACATACTCTTGGATTTTTTAAAATCAGAATAAGAACGAAGGACTCTTTTTTTTTTTAAAAAACTTTTTCGTTTTTTTTTCCCTCAATAACGTATTTCTGTCATGTCCCCATATTCCATAAACCGGGCGAGCTCCCCTGGTGCGCGGGAAAACCGGAGAAAATTGTTTCTTTACGACGCCCCGCTCGCTAATCTCACCCGCCGCCACGTTTTTAGAAACCTTAAACATTATTCTCTCGACAATCTGATATTTTTATTTATTTTTTATGGCGTGCCATTGGCGTTTGATTGATGTCGGGAATCGGTCGCGAACCGTATAATTGGGATTATTTACAAAGCGAATTGTTGTTTTGCAATTTTTATTGGAAATCCTTTGGCTCGTTTTAAGGTAGTTTTTTTTTTGTAACGAATTGTTATTATACTCTGTGACTGTTGAGACGTTGAACTAGTAAAATGTGTGATGATGGAGAATTACACGAAAAAAAACATAACTGAATTTTCTTTTAATATCTTCTGTCTAGTAGTAATCAGTAACAAAACAAACAGGAGGACGCACCCTGGCACATCTGTTATGAAATATCGGTCCTAATAACTCGTCTTATACGGGACGTTACATTAATTTGGCAATAACCACAAAGCCAAATCCAGCTCATCGTACGCGCTGTGAATAATTCAAACGACAGGGACCAGTTGTCGGAGGGGATAGGGCTGCGGTGTTGTAACGTAGCCGATTTGACACACCGCTCGCTTGGACAGATGCGTCTCGGGTTCGGTCCTCAGAATTGATGTAAAGGAACTCTGGATTATTGTTGGAGACGCACTCCGATATTGCGTCAACTATGTCAATCTGTCAATCGATTGTTGTGTTGGGTCCATTGTTTTTGACTCGTGAGGCGAGCACCCAAATGTCATCTAGGTACACCTTGAATCGTTCTCCGGTTGCCTGGTAATACTTTATCGGTTTTCCGCCAGATATGAATCAATAGTTAAGTTACAAGCTCATCACTATCTTTTCTTATGTTGATTATGAATTTTTATTAAAAAACAAAACAATGTTCTATGATAATATGTGAAATTTTGTAATGTTGGTTGAAACGTTATCCGGTTTCATAATTAGGGAGCTCTAAAAATTTATATTGCAGTGTAACAAAATTCAACAATTCTTACGTAGAGACACATTGATTTTACATTGGATCTACGCTTGTCCTGTAGTAGACAATTAAGATGTTATTTTCCCTACTTATTCGTTGGTAGGCTAAGAGGCTATTGCAGCTACGCCCGGACGTGTATGTAGGTGAGCTCACGGGCTCAACCTGAGAGAATTTGTTAACACTGGGCCTAACAAGAGCAGAGTTTCGCTGAAATCGCGACCCACTGAGAAGATCCGCAGAAAAACTCAGTGGACAGCGTGACCTAATAATAAATAGTAATTCGAGAAAGAAATGAACAAGTTCCGATGGTGGGCGACATCGGTGGCACTTACCGGCGCGTGGCCCCGACCGCCAGTCATTAAGCGAGTATCACGAGACGTAACACACGCTATCACTCTCCAGTTGAGCAAACAAGACGTCTGTCCGTCCGTCAAAGCCATAAATTATATTGTCGCCTCATGCTTCGTATAAATCAAAACTAATTAACGAATGTTTTTGGTTTTTCATCTTTTATTTTGACCGAAACGTGTGACTTCATCTCCGCTTTTACGACGGTATTGTACGTAAAATGTTTCTCCGAACTTTATTTAGGCTCTTTAGAGGGTAGTCTAAAACCATAATCTTAGTAGGATTTTTTTTTATCTGCGTCTAGGAAGCACGCGGTACACCGCATGCGGAACTTGGCAGTCTGCAGATGTTCGTATGGAGTTCATGTTTCTATGTTCACTAGTTGTCAACTGTCAGTTAAGCTAATCCGTCTCTAGATTCTGATATATCTATATGTATAAAAATGAATTGCTGTTCGTTAGTCTCGCTAAAACTCGAGAACGGCTGGATCGATTTGGCTAATTTTGGTCTTGAATTATTTGTGGAAGTCCAGAGAAGGTTTAAGAGGTAGATAAATTTGAAAATGCTCGGAATTAAATAAAAATAACAATTTTGTGTTTATCCTTTGATGTGTCCCCCGTCGGACGGACTCCTTTTGTTTGTTTTAAGTTTATTTTACACAAAAGTTTAGGTATTTTGTTTATCGATTAAGGCACTACGAAGTCTGCCAGGTCAGCTAGTTCCATATAAAAAAAATTGGTGGTTCCTTATTTCCTTATCCCTCTCGGGCAATGGCCTCCAACACGTTAAATGGTATGTCTGTGTTTAAAGCAACACT